TTTTATTAGCTGAGGAGGGGAGGAACTAGTTTTGCAAGCTATTTCTTCTTAATTTCATTCACTTGTTATAATTGCCTTGAGTGTGGGAGAGCTTTCTGTGAGTAGTTGTAGTATGTTTGTTCTCTGGAATTTGTGTGCATAATGCTGCATTTGTCAGGCATCATCTAACCGAAATGTCTTTTGTTGATGGGCTTGTGAAGAAGTTCTTCTAACGGCTGTTAAATATATTTAAACCTAATACAACTTAAGCCTCTATCAGTAAGATAAAATGACTCCTATTGGGATTATAAGGGCTTTTTTGTTTGTTTTGTAATATTTTTCATCCATGCTTGATTTCTGTGTTCTTTAGCACACCTGGGAAAGACAAAGAAAAATGTCTTTTCTCCATATTATTCTCTTGTTCTGGACCTTCTAGGAAAATCTCTTTGTAGGGCAGATTTCAAAGTAGAGTTTGGAGGCATCTGATCAAGAATGTAGTGAATTAAGTAAAATGATGTTAGCACCATTGACACCACATTGTATGAGAATCTGGGGGAAAAAGTACTTATGTTACTAGTTACTCTGTTTCGTGGCTTAAAATCACATTGTCCGAAAAAATTTGAGATCTAGCCCTTAAAATTTTCTGATCAAGCTATTAGATTAGTAGAATCTATAATAAAAAAAATCTACAGATTGCTTCTGTAGTTTATATCCAGTAATTTTTAAATACAACTTTTAGACTTTTTTATCAAACAGGACAAACTTTAGAGAAGGTGATAGTGCCAGTAATGAGACCTCTTCTGCACTGTAGGTAGTCTTTGCTTCTTGACTTCTAAGTGTCATCAGACTTTTCACACGTCATTTCTTTTAAGTTGTTCAGAAGAAAGGAATCAGAGGCAGCTTCTATAAGAAAATCAGTCTTCAAAGGAAAAAAAATGAAAAAAAATCCCAACCTTGGTCAGAGGCCTACTTCTGTTCACTGTGCTCACAATGAAAATAACCTAAAATATAAGAGTAATATGGGGAAAAATGAAAGGCAGGTGGTAGAACAAAAAAATGGAAGTGCTTTTTTGTTTATGAGATATGCCATTTATTCAAGGTTTTCTAGCTAATAATTGTGTATTGTGGGTTAAATTGCCACTAAATATAAAAGAGAAGAATAAGTAGTTATCAAAGGAGAAATACTGCTTCATAGGCTAAGGTGATTATAGGACATTTTTGATGGATTTGAAATGAGTAAGTATTCCACTGTAAATCCTTACTGTGCAGTGATGCCTAAGTAATGTTTCTTTTTCCTAAAACAATTATGCTGGGGAGGGAGGAGATTTGATTAAGCTGTCTTGTTCATTGTACCTCCAGTATCTACTACTTGCTCAGACTCCTAGATTAAAGAAGGACAGCTGCTGTTCTTACTTTCCAAATTGTACAATGTCATTTCTGTCCTTCATAAACCTGACTATGAATAGACTGGATATATTGGGAGTTGAAAAGAACCCAAATCCAACAACCTGACTTCAAAAAAAATACAATTTCTAAAGGCCAACGGGAAATTCATTCCTTGTAGAACATGCTCCACCTTGTGTACTTACTTTTCTTTTGCCAAATGGGAATGCAGCATTCTATTCTGTTCAAAAGTCTTGGAAGGCCAAGTGCCTGAAATACAAGCTTAGCAAGAAAAGTGTGATGAGGACTATGTTCACACCTTCTCAAGGACTATGTCAATAAAATGTGAAATTGTTCTTTCACTTCTGTGCATTTATTGAATACTTTTGTCATGGTCACCTAGGAAACAAATGCAGGTATACATTTGTGAGCATTTGCAGATTAATTTCATTCTTGATGCAGCTAAGGAAGTCACACTTGAAAGAACTTCAAAATCATTTTAATTAATGCACAAATTAGTGACCATCGGACACTGAGCAAAACCCTATGAACAGTCTGACATTTTAAATATAGTTGGGTTTATTTCACAAGGATAAAATTTTACTGACTAAAGATAGGAAGACAAAGATGATCTTCAAGAGAAAAATGAGCTGCATATGAAGATTATAAGCTATTCTACTTAGTGTATTAGTATTATTCAGATAATATTCAGGTAAAAATAGTATAACAACTAAAATGAAATAATGAAGTATATGTATGCTTTACTAATCATCATAATAAGCTTGGCTCATGCTATGCATTAAGTGAACTGTTCAGTATCTTTCATTGAAATTTTTAATGAGTCAATTCAGTTTAATACAAACCAGTTAGACAATAAGAATACTGTGTATCAAGGTTATTTTTTTACTTCTGTTTTAGTTTGATAGGACATTTTCTTCTAGAATATTTGAAGAACTGTTCAGACTTTTTAAAGGAATTTTAGTAACATATTTGCATGAAAATCTAGATATACTTAATTTATGATGTGCTTGTAACTTTATATTAATTACAGTAATGACTGGTAGATGTAGATGCAGATTCAGCTTTATCCATCTGATAGGACAGGGCTTGTTGACTGAGTATTGGATATGGATATGACACTACTGCATTTTCTTCCTCATTTGCTTTATCTTTGATGAAGAGATTTTTTTGTTCTGAAAACAACATGTTTTCAGAATCATAGAGTCATAGAATGTTAAGAGGTTGGAATGAAGATCATCTGATCTTAAAGATCATCTAATCCCAACCCTGCCTGCCATGTACGAGATTGCTCAGAGCTCCTTTCAAACCAGCCTTGAATACTTGCAGCAATGGGAACGTCTGCAACATCTCTGAGCAACCTGCTCCAGTGCATCAAAACACCAATCTGCTGGAGCTTATCATGTGCCTTTGACATGTTTGGGTGTTTTTGTCATCTTACAGATTCCTACTTTTGTGGCTTTTAGAATTTGACAGAAAGTCATGTTATTCTGCATCTGAAGAAAATGTCCATTTGATTCCTTCTGACGAGTCTTAACAGTTTTGCTTCAAAATTTGCATCTAATCAGTCAGTTGGTGCTGGTGTTGAATTTCTTGCTTCTTTGTGGGATATTCTTGCTAAAGTCTCATAGTAATTTCAATTTTCCTTCATTGGTACAGGGACTATAGTTTTAGAAGTTAAACTAATTTAAAAATCAGTTTACATTTCCGAGCCAGATTTATGTGTTGTACTTACTGTGTGGCTTATTTAAAAAGCTGTTGTCTAGACTTCAACTACTGCCAAGTCTTGCTTCTAGAATATTAAACTTTGCATGACGCTTACTCAGCATGTCATTCCAACTTTTTGGTGTTTCACTGCCTCCTTGTCAAATATAAACTTGCCTTAAAAGCACTTTAATGCCTTGAAGGTAATGAACAATTTGGCAGCAAAAATATTTTCTGACTGATTTGGAGTCCCTGCATAGACTGCTTGGAGCCTGAGATCATTGAAACCTCTTATACTGGCTATTTTAAAATTAGGATTTATTTCTGTTTGAATTCTGAAATCTTTCCTTGGGAGAGCCATTTAAATGTGAGTGTATATTTTTCTCTTTAACAGTGGTTTATGGGCTATAATGGTAGAATATTTTTGCATTTTTATGTTTAGTTTTATTGTAAAGAGCCTCGGGATGCCTTTGTATGAAAGGCACTATATAAACTCATTTTGTATTGCATTGTATTGTATTGTGACAAGTGCAATAATCTCCAGGTTTCCTATCCATTAAAGAACTAATTTCACAGCTCACTAATTATGTGAATGAGAAGGAGAAATAGGTCCTTTTTCTCTAAGGTATGCTGAGCAGATGGCATAGAACTCATTTCCACCAGCTGAATCTAAGGTCCTGTCATGCTTTTGGTTCAGAGGCTTATCAGGCCTCTGTTTATCAAGGAGAACAGGAGAGAGATATCACTTTCTTGTACAGCATGACAGTGTGTACTGAGAGGCTGTCTCTGTCCTTTGCTAATACAACATTACTTAGCAAACACTATGTCTAAGTCTATTTATTTAGGATGGGACATGAAAACTATTAAAATTAATGTGCATTTTGATGTAATTCTAATCCACCTCTGTTTTATTGAAGATACTGATTAGTTCTGCCATAGGGATTTGAACTGATGCACATTAAAAATTATTAATGAATCAATTGAGTACTGTTGGGATGGAATCTTGTCTGTAAGTTCAAAATAAAAAACATTAGTTCCTGAAACTGTACACTTTCCTTTATAGTTAAAGTTTTGACAACTTGTTTCCATTTTTCTTTTGCATCACTCATGAAAATAACCAACTTGAATCAAACATGCACACAATGATTTATATAGCTGCCTAACGTATTGCTTTTTAAAGTAACTTGAGTCATCAGATGCTAGTGAACTCCCATGGTCCTGAAAAGTAGCTATTGGAGCCCTTTTTACAGCACTAAAAAGAGAAAATATGAGACTGACTGAAGATCCTGATGATGCCTTAAGTTTTAGCTTTCATATTTTTCCTATTCTGGGGTGCCTAAGTGTGTAGATTTGAGCTTCATATTAAGTGTTAGTGAGTTCTCTTCACAGAATAGATAGATAAAAATAATCCTTTTCCAGCTTGATACTAAGGACAATCGTTAGAAGTTTCAGGCCCAAAAGCATAAACAATGGTGGACTGAAGAGCGAGAACAAGAAGGATTGGACTTCACAACCAACTGAAGCATTGATTGAACAATTAACCCTGACAGGCAGCTGGACCAAAACTTATAAAAATGTGAGACCTTGCGACCAGTCATCCATTTTGTGACCATTTTTAGGTCCATCTTGGGTTTAGCCCTGGCCAGGCTCATGTACTGCCCAAGGTGGATCCTTTAAGGCCTTTCAATAAATATCTACTTTATTCTAAACTCTGTCTAGGCTCTGTTCTGGGTCAGCCTTCTCCAGACATCACTGACATAACTCATGTATGACTTGGTGGCAAGGCTACATTTTACAGTGCTGCACAAGCTATTGGACCATTTTTTCCCCTTTCACAGAATGAGCAGTACTAATTTGTAGTTTCCTGTTTTCTCTGCTGGCCAGCCTCACCTGTTTGCTTTGTGCTCACGGCTCTGATGTCGTTCTCGTTTCAGACGGACGCAGCGCTGATGTACGATGCAGTCCACGTGGTGTCGGTGGCTGTCCAGCAGTTCCCACAGATGACCGTCAGCTCACTACAGTGCAACCGCCACAAACCATGGCGCTTTGGGACCCGCTTTATGAGTCTCATTAAGGAGGTAAGGCACTACTAAAGCGTCCTGCTCCCCTGCATTCTTTTCCCCCAGTTCCCATTTTCTTTTGCTTTCACTCCATTTGGTTTCTGCCTTTTATTTTTTTTTTCAGTAGATGGTCATCTCTCATCATTATGTTATGTATAAGAAGTTTAACAAGCAAGACAGCATTTTTCTTTGAAAGTGGGTTTACCTGAAGTATTACTTGGAACAAAAATATGTGGAAAGGTGAAATAACTGCATTCTAAATAAAACTTATGTTTGTAGATAATTGGGCCTGTGTGGAGCATTTATGCCATAAAAACCCGAACACCTGAAACTCTAAGACTGACCTAACCCATAGACTGATTATGAGAAATTTAGCAACTGAATACTGGCAGAAGTTTAAGGGGGCCAGGAATTAATTTTACTTCCTCGTTTAAATTAAATTTTTTTCTTAATTTTCTATGGTGAATTTCTATATGTCTCCTTAATTTCCCAAGATACTATTTAGATACTGATAGGTAGTGATAGTAAAGCTAGGAAATATAAGGTGCTAAATGTGAACACTGTAGACTATTCAAATCTCTCATACTGTAACACCTTATACAATGTTTCTCAATCTAGATGTGCAAAATATTATAACGAGGAAAATTATTTGCAATGGAATGTATTTTTTTTTTCAATATTGGTTCCTTTAGGATGATAATTTTATTATTATTTCCTCTCCTACTTTGTAGAGGTTCAAAACTAGGGTAGATTTTAAGTTATAAAAAAACAATGAGGCTATTTCACTTTATTAAAAGTGAGGAATAAGCTCAGGTAGGCTGGCTCACTGACCTAAATTTTTGCTGTCTCAGTGTGGTTTCAGGGGAATCAGCATCTTGCAAAAATAAGCTTTTATTTGAATGAAATTTCCTGAGAAAAAGATGAAGTCCAGCATTAATGAAACAGATTGAAACTTGGGGATTGGGGAGGGGGAGGTATGTAGGGAAGCAGAAGGGTAAATACATGAATGATGGAGGAGTGAAAACAAAACAGCCTTTTATCTCATTCAGTAGAAGAGTCTATTGTCTGACATGGAAAGTTTAAAAAATTGTCCATGAAGACTGAAAAAAAGTTTGATTTAATTAGCAAAAAATAAATACAAAGTATTTAAAAACAAAAATCAGCCACAAGGTGAATTATTTACATAAAATGAATAATTAATGATCCCAATCTGGAAGGAGTAGTTTGTCTTTTCTGGGGAAAAAAAAAATAAGGAAGAGGCATTTATTTCTAGAAACTGTTTTTTCTTTCTCCATAGGCCCACTGGGAAGGCCTCACAGGCAGGATAACTTTCAACAAAACTAATGGCTTAAGGACAGATTTTGATTTGGATGTCATCAGCCTCAAGGAAGAAGGTCTTGAGAAGGTGTGTAAGACATTTGCTTCCAAGGAGGTGGGAAACAAAACAACACAAAACTCAACCCCTAAAAACTCTTACAATAGAATTTCATGTGTTATGTGAAACAGAGTACCTGCTCTCAGCTCAGTATTTTTATAAATGGTCCTAAAAAGTTAAGAATTGGTATCCTGACTGGTTGGCTGTCAATATTTCTTGTTCAGAGGTGGAGTGAGAGAGCAAAGAATTGGGAAATGCTCTTCCCATGTAGCTTAATATTGTCTATATTTGAGCTTAAGAGCTCAGCAAGTATGTACAGACATTTGGCCTGCCTATATACACCATCATGATCTGAAATCAGATCATCTTCCCTCCAGCCACCTTACCATGAAGAGGCAATTGCAGGAAGCTGCAGTGTCTCACATTGTTGTGATCAGCAGGAAAAGGTTTTGCGACTGGAATCTGTCTTGTAGTTTGCATTTAGAACTGCTGTTCCGTGTTCTGTAAGGACTATGTTTTCCTTCATCTTCAGATAAAGTTCAATCAGCTCTTGCCCCAAGGTGATAATTGTGGGCAAAAATAAAAGCAGAAATTAAGGGTAGGGACCATATTGCAGAGTTGCATTTCCTTTCTTCTGTAAATTCACTGAATGGAGAAGCTAGCGTAAGCAACATATTTTCCCAAAATTTTGTCTCACAAGACTAACTTTGGAATATTAATTTTCTCCTACTGGGAAGATTTGTAAAAGTTCAGAAACCACGAGTTTGTCATGAAACACTTTCTTAGGTAACAACATTTTTGTTGCCCACTGGAAAACCTGCTATTCAAGAATTAAACTGCATTTTAAAATGTTCAGCCATACACTGACAGTAGATTTCTCCGATGAAGTTTCCCATGAAGTGAGCTCTAGCAACTTAGCCGGGGAAAAGAGCATATAGTAACTATTAGACTTGAAAAATAAATTAGTATTGTGTACAAGTAGAATAGGTACAGTGCAAATTTGTCTTTCTTACTGGAAACAGAAATGGAAAAGTTGATGTCATGGTAATAGCTAAATAAGTCAGTAGTGGCTGAAGAGAACTGTTGAAAATGAGGAAAGGAAGTCTTCGTAAATTAGGATGGCTTTAAGAATATTAGGTGGCATTTGGGAACCACAAAGCAACGTGAGATTTCTGGAAAGTAAAATCTCAGTTGATAATACACTAGGAGATATATACATCAGTGAAAATACAGAGATAAAGCAGAAAAGGTCTACGGAGAAATATGGAAGACAATAAAATTCAACAGGAAATAGAGTAGTACTCTAAAACACATAATAGAAAAAAGGATCTTGGGAAACAGTTATATTGAAAGATAAGTAAGAGACAAACCAGAAATAATTGTTGAAGCATATGGATATTTAAAAAGAACAACAGTATGTGTTTGAGCTGTATATAAAGATTTTCATAGAAAAATATGTATATAAGGATTATATACATATAAAAATATATATCAAGATTTTCATAGAAAAAGAAGATACTCTTGCTGCCTTCCTGGCTTATTTTGGTCATATGATAAATTGAAGTGATAATATTATTTTTTCACCAAAAAATGTTGACAATCTTTGGAACAAGCAAAATGAGTCAGTTACTATATATGAGCAAAACCAGAGCAGTTTCTCTGGGGTGTAAGGAGATGAGATTGGGAAAAGGAAAATTCAAGTGTATGCACATTTGATTGAATTGCTTACTGAACATATAGAACATATGGTGTATTTTACTGAGAAAGATAAATCAATGCCCACAGAGAAATGTTTCTCTTTGAGCAAAACTTTATTTTTTGGGAAGAATGCAAATCTTACTCTTCTTGAATCCAGAGTGAATGAATAAATTTTGGAGTAGGTGAATTCCTAGTAGAGAGAGTACATTTTAGCCGGTTCTTTTAAATAAAAGCTGGGAATTTTCCTCCAAGACTTAATTCTGTGATGAGTCACCCTTCTCTCAGTCCCCTACCTCCCTCCACAAGTGCACTCCATCTATCACACTTTCTCTCCTTTCTGCTGCTCCTTCCTTTCCTTCCTTCCTTCCTCTCCCATTCCTTAGGTCTCTCCCTCCAGACACTCCTTGCTTGTTTCCCTTTCCATCTATTCCCTCTCCCTTGTACCTATTCATCTCTTTCCATGCCCTTTCTCTCTATTTTATTTTTCCTTCAGGAGCCTTTTTTCATCTTTGTCCTTATCTGGTATGTTTTCAATGTTCTTTCTAAACCATCCTGTCAGACATCTCTGCCTATGTTGTAAGAGTTCCTGAGCACTTTTTTTTTTTTTTTTTATTTCTGTACTTCTACCACTTGTGGGGTAAAAAAAAGGTGGGGATATTAGAATTCTGTGCACCATAATATGTATGTCATGTTTCCATACTGTAAACTGTTCTTATTTCTTCTAACCTCCTTCCAAATAATTTATTCTGTCAAGGACAACAGTTTAACTCAACAATCTTGTCTGTAATCCATGAAAAGAAAAATATTGACATAAGGGGGAAAAAAAATATTATGAAGAATTCCTAGAAGGCATATTTTTTTAACTTAGATTTTGTAAAAGTATGTCCTAAATAAATTACTTGGTTAGTATAACCACTATAACTGGGAAATTACCTAAGGAATCTGTTATAAGTTCAATGATTTCTGAAGTCAGTGACAGCAGAACAACTCACTGATTTTAAAAATGCTATGTGCAATCCCAGATTTTATATAAAATACTTGTTCCTGAAACTCTTGAATGAGAGGTGATAATCAGGCATCAATCAATAAGAGGTATGTGTTTCCAAATAAAATTTCATGTCTGCCAAAAATGATAGCTTCTTTTAAGATGAAAATGACAAAATTAAGAAATGATTGGAGTGCTGTTAATACAATATACCACAAAATTTTATTACAGTCACTTTGGACAGACTGAAACTATCCATGATTAAGCACAGTGAAAATCCAAAACTGTGACACTCCAGCATAATAAATTATAATTTAAATTGCAGTCAATCAGTCTTTACACTGAGGCTGCATTGTGAGGAAAATTATTTTATACTTCAAGGAGATAACAAATACCTGAATTTAATAGCACTTTTGATATGAAAATTTGTCACTGAAGAAGAATCACATATCCTCAATAAGAGATGTTACAACTGGCTTCAAGCCTTGCTCAGAAATCTTCACACCGGATGAACATAAATGACACAAAATTAGTTATAATTAATTATCTGGCATATCAGTGTAAGGTCTTGTTTTATTTTTTATCTTTAATAATGATCTAGGAAAAAATACCCAGTAAATAGCATAAGCAGCAGGTTTTGTAAGAGAGGGGAAAAAAAGAGAAATACATAGTAAATCTGTGAGATCCAGAAGTATTGAAGTTTTGTTATCAGTGTTATATATGGCAAAGAAAGCATAATATAATAATATAATATTGCTGAAGAAAGCAAAATAAATTAAGCAATTTGCAAATGGGAAATATGAAGAAGCATTATTATTCCTAATGGAGTATAATTATTTCCTTGATGTAATCACTACTACTAGTAACTAATTCACAAAAGTAAATAAAGAAGGCATAGATAGATTTCACAAGTCTTTGGGAGTTGAACATAACTGGTTCTGGCTGCATAGTCAGTGGGTAGCACTGCAGAAAGACAATGATCCTTCCTAATACAATGCTTGTGGCACTTCACTGTGAGTCATATTCATAGTTTTGATTGACTCAGAGCAAAAAAATGTTAATTTTCTCAGGAGAACTTTGAAGAAAAATCAAAAAGAATAGTACTTGAAAGTATGCTTATCAATTCATGAAGATAAATCACTTTTCAAACATGCTGAAGTAAGAAAGCTACTGAATTTTTGTTACTAGCATCTCATGAGACTGAGTCTCAGTAAAGTGCTCTAGAGCATATGTAAACTCAGCAAATTTTAAGTGTTGTGAGTGTACAGTGCTTCATTTTTTGGGGGGGTGATGGTGAAATATTTTGATAGTTTTGGCTAGGACAGGGTTAAATTCCTTCATATAAGCTTGTATGAGGCTGTGATTTGGATTTGAGCTGAAAACAGCATTGATAACACAGGAATGTTTCAATAATTGCTGAGCAGTTCTTATACAGAGACAAGGCCTCCTTAGCCTGCAGAGCTACAAAGTGATTTTGGGTGAGGATGTCCAGCTGGGTGGGCATATCTAGTTTTGAGGGAGTGCAGTAACCTGATAGTTACCTGGAAGTCAAATACGTGGAAGCTTGGATGCAAATTTTCAACTATTCACATGAATTTGGGAAATTGTAATCTTTGTCCTTGAGGACCACCACAATTACCATGTTACAGAATACTCTGTGATATTCAATGATTAATTTAGCTCTTGGAATTGTTTCAACTTAAATAAGGTGATTCTTGTCTAATTCTAGATGGATTCTAAATCTAGATAGGTTCTTTCTATCATTTTTCTTTGGCACATTGTGGAGCATATGTTCATGGGTACACTTGGTCTGGATCCTGTACTTTGGATAATAAGTGTTAAAATATTCAGATTGGCATGGTCACTTCAGAATAGTTTAGCCATTTAAGAGAATTGGAAAGAATAATAGGAAATTGATGGCTTGACAATATAGTCAATATTTACAATATATTTACTGTTTGAACATTCTCTCTGAAGTGTATCTATGAATACTTGTTTCACTTTTCAGGAAAATTTTTAAGTTTTACAAACGTAATGCAATAAAGTAAATGGTAGCTTGTTTGAATTTCAGTTATAGACTACCTTGATGCACCTTTTCTGCATTGTTGGCATTTTCTAGTAAAAACACATTGGCAATTCTACTCAGTTAAAAAAGCTACTTAAAGATTAAAACATTGTGCTGAAACAGATAGAAAATAATTAACTTGCTGAATGGTTTTTGCACAGCTTTCCTGTAAGAAGCAGCTTTGAAAACACATTTGTGTGATTTGGGAGCTAAACATATCAGTAATATATATGAACCCGTGATGCAAATTGTTGGGTTTGAGCTCATCAACAAAGATAATCCAAAGAAAGTCTAATTGTGGACCTATGACTTTTGGTCCATTTCTTAGGTTTTTGGTTAACAAAAGTAGTAGCAAAAGACAATGAACCTAATTTAGAAAAATGATGTATCAATTTATCAAGACAGAATTTTCTTTTTAAAATAATGCTGCTGATAATTCTTATAGGTCTGCAGTAGATTAAGTCTGTAATTAGATAAAATCCAAATTCTAACAGTTGACGTTCCTTCACTTCTGGTTGTGACTATGTTAAAAAGTAGGAGAGGAAGTATTTTGGTTAGCAATGTCTTACCTTTTGCCAATATAATTTGGAATTATAAACATGAATTTAAACAAAACAAATGATTTAATTAATTTAGGATTTGAAACTGATCGTATAAGAAGATGGTGTTTCCTCAGAAATTTTTGTACTACTTGTGTACCTGAACATCTGCACATCTCACAGAGCGTGGTTCAGCTTCAGTAATGCAGTGACAGGCTCAAGTTCTGGTCTTTGTCATTCCTTGTTACTCTATTCTAGTTTGGTCTTTGAAGCAAACACTGTGATTGTCACCATTAACAGAACACTGCAATTAAATGTTAGCAACTGTTTTAAAATTTCTTGATTGTGGCCAAGCTGCAAGGCTAAACATTTTGTGTTTTCTGAAAGCCTTTCATTGTATTAGAACAGTAAATGAAGGAGTTTTTTGGTAGCAAGACTTGATTTGAAGACTTTGAAATGATGTGTTAGATGTCATTTTCCAATTGTATTTCTGAGACAAACATATTCTTTCTTCCCTTCATGATTCTTTGATCAATTTATGAGGTACTGAATGACCTCAAAAGAGTGACCTCTAGGAACTGAGTGTTAAGCGAGAAAGACAGACAAAATATTGATTCCTGTGGAACAGAAAATTGGAGAAAAAGAGATCAAATTTTTTGTTTCTTTATTACAGCATCCACTGATTCATGCTCTGCTGTAGTCTCAGTTTTAGAAATGGAACTCTTTATATCCACACCACTTTGCATCCTAAACTTACTTTACGGCCCTTTGGCAACAAATCACTTAAAAGTATAGAAACAGTCTGTCAGGACCCAGTTGAAAAGATAATTAAAAAAATTGTGTGTGTTTATATACATACATATGTATATTTGCAATGAATCCTTACTGAAATTTTTAATTTTTTTCTGTGTTTAGTTTTAAAATATCTTTACCTTGTGTTATAGATACTACTTAGTATTTGAAATAATGTTCAAACTCTGTCTAAAGCAAAAAAAAGACATATTTGTGGGGGATTTTTTAGGCAATGTAATAATACAAACATTCTGATTTCTAAAATGGATAGCTATATTTACCATTTTAATTGTATAGAGATGAAAATGCAAATAAATTACAGATGAGCCTCATTACTTACACTTAGTATTTAAGTCTGTCTTTGACCTGGACCTTGAAGCATAACCTCAGATGTTCTTATTAGATAAAAATCCTCCAGAATTTATTTCAAAGTCCAAAATGTCAAAATACTTATATGTTGAAAATTTATCTGTAAATGAATTACGTTATTGCACTTAGCTTGTTTCTGTCTTCTACGTTATTTTTCCCAAAAATGTAGTTTGTCCTGCTGTTCTCTCTGATCGCAGAAAAGGGTAAATCATTTTGTAGAGACAATGCTCTCTGCTCTGCAAATTAATTTCTGCCTGCTAAGTTATCTTCAGGTGTGGTTTATCTTGAGAAATGGAAAATTGAGTATTAAGAGTAACTTTAGATATCTATATCATTTTTATGCCTAATGTCACACTTCACGAAACATAATTTGAGGTATTGTTAATCATATTTTTAATAAGCAGACTTTAAATGCAATGACAGAGAAAAATGGAACAAAATTTAATAATTACTCTTAGCAATCAATTTTTTTTTCCCTGTAGCAGTCTGTTTTTTCCTTAAAGTGTTATTCTCTCTATGCTGAAATGTAACTAATGGGTGATTTACACAGTAATTTACTGTTTTATAGGTTGGAACTTGGGATCCATTGAGCGGCCTTAACATGACAGAGAATCAGAAAGGAAAGCCAGCAAACATCACAGATTCCCTGTCCAATCGCTCTTTAATTGTTACTACCATCTTGGTAAGCATTTGTATTTGCTTTTCCTGAAATACAGTTTTGCAGACAAACTGATAGAATACTAATTACAATAGTAATGAACATTCTGCAGTGTGCATTATCATTACTTGGAATTTACTTAGAATTGGAATTTATGGTGTCATGAATGAACTTCAGTTGATAAGCTAGTCAAGGATGTTCACTCTTACCTTAATTGTGAGCAAGTTATCCCAATTTTGGTGTTATGTCAGTTGATTAATAATTTAACTTTTCTTATTACTGACTAAAATGTTTTCTTCTTTAAAAAGCTGGTTTCTTCAGTGCCAGAAAAATCTATTGCTTTTGTTTGCTATTCTAACACCTCAAAGGAAAGAGCAAAGTATTTAACATTTATTTAACATTGTCATTACTCAATTATTGAGACAAAATTTTTAGTTATACAGATATTTAATTGATTTGTCCTTTGAACTATATCAGAAGAAACAATTTGAGTAACTTTTTTAAAATTTTCACTGTTGGCAGATTCACAACAGAGAACGAGGTATTTTTTAATTATAATTAAATTCAACTATTTAAGTAAAAATAAGTGTTCATTTATTTCCTTGCAGTAATTTTGGAATAGTAATTTTAATTTCAATGCAAATTTAAAATTTTCCAGATGTTTGTTTGCTGTGTTTGTCTGCTGCCACCATTATCATGAATTTGTAGGTATTAAAAAAGGGTCCATTTTCTTGCAGTTGTATACTTTATTAAGAAGTTCTTACCTACCAACATATATTATCACATTTCAAACTAGAATGAATTTTTACAGGTGCATAGACACAAATGCCAGTGTGCTTTTAACCTTTCATGTAACATAAATCATAGAATTTCATCCCATGGGTAACTTTTCCATTGCTTTTAAGGTCTGTTTAAAAGTGGTAGAAAATCTTCTGAAATCCTTTGTTTCATTTAATTCACTTATTGAAAAATACATACCATATACATCTGCATATATAGCATATACAGATATACATCTGACTCACTTTCAGATCTAATTTCTTGTTAAGCTAAGACCAGCAGAGATTTATCACAACTTTCTCTTGTACTATTAATTATAGTAATGGTACACTATAGTTATAATTTAGTTTATAAATTTATAATCCCTTGTTTCTTTTTTTAATGAAATATAAATAAATGTCATATATTCTCTTATAGTAAAAGTATATCTTCTAGGGTATTAACCTGTCAATTTTCTTCCTATTGACTTCCCACAGGAAAAGAAAATAATCATTTATTTCACAAGTTTCCTACATGTAACAACTGCATTGTCAAGTAGATTTTATTAATAATTCCAATTGACCTCCCATGCCCTCTATACTGCTGTTGCTTTGTACCCAGATATCCTGCCCAGGGTTTTTCTTGAAACTTTTCACTGATATGTAATTCATTGAACCTAATTGCTATTAGAATTACAGCTTTACAGAATAGTGTCCTGTCTCCGCGAGTGACCTGTTCCCTTTGTTACTCGGTAATGAACCAGTCTTTGTATCTGCACTCTTCAATCGCCCTCGTTGTATGCTTGGTTCCAGATCAGTGATAATAAAACTGCAGCAAGGATCAATCCCCATAAGAGTACAGAAGAAACACTCAATAATTTAGGGTGTTTCAAGCTTGTTGTGTTTTAACATCTGCCTGTTGATGAGGTTTGAGTTAATAAACTCTAAGTATTGCTTTTATACAGTGATACTAACATGATTTTGGTTGAAATAATTAGCCCGAGAAATGGTAAATTGTACAAATATAAATAGCAGCGATGCCAATGGGCACTGATTTTAATCTGGCAAAGCTAGCAAAAGAAGAATCTTGGGATTTGAGAGAAAAGCTGCTTTCTGCAATCAGGGATAGCCTTTATCTTAAGAGTTAACTTTTGGTTAGTGGTTTTTTAAAAGTGTCCATCTTCTTTGCAGGTATATAAATAATGCAATAAAAAAAAAAAAAAGACTTTAAATTGGTGTTACAAGTTCCTCGCTTGTAGCTGCCTGTTTAACTTCAGTTATTGTTTACTAAAAATTTTGGTATTTGCAGTTACTCTATTCAGCTATGAAGAATGGCACTCAGAAGTGGTATAAATTGGAAGAGCTGTACTTGGAATAGCAAAAAGACCCAAACCATTTTTGGTGCAGAAACACATGTACTAGCTTAATTTGGTAGTTCTATCTCTTTTATGCTTAAAAAGTACGTTTCTGTTGGACAGAAAGCATATTACTGAATATTCATTTTGTGGCAATGCAAGGAAACAATATAGAATGCTAAAGCCCCTAGAAATATACCTACTACATAATCAGCTTCCTTTTCTCTCCTTCTCTGAGTCTGCAAAATCTTGCTTAAATGAAAAAAGAAAAGACAGTTCTATCATATAAGCTGTCCATATGGTTTTTCTATGATGTTATTTTCATTTTAAGAATTCCCTACAATAGTCTATAGTATATTGGCAGCTGTGGAGCCTTAATCATTTTTCTCTGTAGTTTGCTCTAATGCTCACTTTCCATTTAAATATCCCAGTCTTTCTTTTATTTTTAATTCTATTTCTTAAATTCAGAGCAGTATCTATTTGCTCCTTTAGTCTGCAGTCATTAAGATTTTACAGCTGTTAAGTATGCCGTGCATTTTCAGGGATGGCTGAGTCTCTAGAAGAAGAAAATATACTGATGGGGAAAATAATAAAATATAAACTGTGATTCATAAATTCATCTATTTTAAGTAAGGACAGAGCTTTGTGCTCTGTCCTTTTTGTCTTGAATCCTTCGTAATGAATTTTGCAGGTAGGTAGCTGAAAAATTATTCCTTGGGTTCTCAACAATTCAGGGGTCTATTCTGGAAAGAGACAGGGCTTTGTCAGGACTTCACCCTGTCTAGGAATCTATGTACATGTAGTTTTTGTGGTGAAATGTGTCTGGTTTCCAAGATCCCATAGCAGCCCCAAACGCCAGCTGAACGTACCCAATAGAGAGATAGACAGGTGTTTTTAGGGAAGTGGGGGAAACATTTAAAAAATAATAAGTATGATGTTTTCATCTTTTATAACCATAGCTTTGGATATATCAATCTTTTTGATACTACTGTTTTATTTTAAAACCATCTGCATTGAAACTTCAGAATTCCTTTTTCATTTAAAAAGTTGACTTTATGAATATTCTACATTTAGAAAAAACAAACCAAACAAAAAACTTAAAGAAAACAAATTTTCAACTTCAGCAATAAGGATTTCTTATTATTTGATTCTCCTAAATTCCCACCAGAATTCTGAAACATTTCTTCTCTTTAGACTTTAGATGTAAGTATCTAAATATTTTTGTTCCTATACATATGCTACTTCCAGTATGAAAGAGTTTCAACTTTGGAATTTAGTCTCCATGTTTATAAAGATATGTGCATGGTACTTAGGGGTTTTTTTTATGCTAATTTCATACCAGTCTGTACATATTATCATACTGGTTCATTTGCCCTGTTCTGCTGAAGTAAATGCTTGTTTTCTTTTCCTGTGTAGCTTTTATGTACTCTTCTGTATCTGCTTACATCAAAGCTCAGAAAAGCTCACAGTTGTCAAGTTTAATTTTTCCAAGAAATGTGTGAAAGTTATGAAAGGTGTGCAATGTTCTCAGATTTAGTAGCTTTTTGTTACTTTGCATTTGAAAAGTGAAATTACGTTTTTATTGTACTTCCCTTAGAAAAAAAAATTGGTTTGAAATAGGAATAGAATTAGAAGGAATTAGAAGGAATATTTATCATAAATTTTAAAAGAATTTTAGTTAGCTCAAAGTATAGTATTCCCACACTGTATTTTACTGATATATGCTACTTTCTCAAATGACTAGTGTGTAATTTCTCTTTTCTCTTGGATACTCAAACATGAGTTTTCAATGGCCAAACTTTAAATTAATATATATTAAAAGAATATTAGAATTAAAAGAATAAATTTACCTGTCATCTTTATAAAGATGGTTCATCCATGAATTGTTTTAATTGATAGTAACTAGTGGATTGATTCACCTCTCCCACTAGAATTTTGACTGCCTACTGTGAAAACCTATTGTGTATTCCTTATATCTCATATACATGTTAAGAAGATATGGCAGTCTTTCAACACTCCAGTATCCCACCTTCTGGTGAACAGCAGCTAGTAATTAAAATCTCTGTTCTTAGAGTGGAAATTTTTCAAATAGTTTTCCCCATTTCATCATTAGGGCTTCCACTTTTTGCTAATTTTTTTTTCTTTTGCTTTGTTTTGCTTTTCTCTATACTGATAGTAATAAATTCTAGATTAATTTAAAAATATGTTATTCCACGTTGAAATTATTAATGAAAAATTTACATGTTTGATTAATATTAATTAAAAAAAAATTGAAATGTAAAACTAGTTGTAATTTCCAGTAATATCTTTGTCATCAAAATATAATATAACTCACAGGAATAATTCATGGAAATATTTATTGTTCAAATCTGAAAAGAAAAAGAGAAATTAGCAGAAATTTGTTCTTTAGAATGTGTGCTTTCATTCA